TTCACTTTTGTGAATAATAATAGTTGAATTTAATGAACTGCCAAACAATAAATTATAGGGTTTGGTAAAACAAGAGAGAGAGAGAATCAAAGTTTCAAGTGATTGGGTCACTAAATTTTCTGTGTGCATGGCCCATGGTAATGTTTTACTTTTTTTGCAGTCCTAGCCCGTAATAAGTTCTTTTTTTTTTTTTTTGGGTCACGAAGTTGGTTTAAACGCAAATGGTTGTTTCTATAAAGGAATTAAATTTGACAATGAACAAACTTTTGAATTTGATCGGAGTTTATAGTCTATTACTGTATATTTTTAAAAAATACTGTGAAATTTAAGTATAGATAAAACAATATTTAAATCTTGAAGAAATGTTTAGTTTATGAAATTTTGAGCTCCAAAGTATTCAATATAAAATGTATGGATTTCTAATATGACCTCCTGTTTTATCAAAAAAAATAAAAACATGACCTCCTTTTTGTGCAAGATTTTGAGTATTATTATCATGCGGTTCTTGTTTGAGATTATTAGAGGTTGTCCGTTGGAAAACAAGTAAACATGAATCATGCAAAATATGGTCAAAGTCATTTGAAACATCGATAAAACATTTTTCAAGAATTTTAAGGCATTAAAGTCAAAATATTTACTTACATTTAATGAGAAAGGTTTATTTAACCGCTTAGTAAGTATTCTAAGGAGGTGTTATTGGATTAGTGTTTTTAATGTATTTTATTGTATTTGTATTTGGGAGTATTATGTTGGATTTTGATGCAATCACCACGTTGGATTGGATTTTGATGTATTTTATTGTACTTGTATTTGAAAGTATTTTGTTTGATTGTGTTGAATTTCTGAACATGACACGTGAATCGTTTTTCTCTTTTCTACCTCTCTTGAGATTTGCCGATTGGAAGCCAAGACAATTTTGTTTTGGATGCTGATACCGAAAGCTCGAGACGGCGGAGGTCGTTGTCTAGACGGCCGTCGTCGAGAGGAAATCCGGGTAACGTTGGTGGGTCAGTGAGGGTAGATCCGGGAATCAACAATTCGAGCCGACGAAGATCGGTGTCGAGACAACCGTGGGAGAGTGGTTTATACCGGCGAGAACAGTGGTAGTACAATTAGAGGTAGGGAATTTGGGGCCGATCGTGAAAACACGAATTCACGGCGAAGACGGTCGCTCTCAGTCATCCCGATTGACAATTCTGACATAAATCACTTTTGTTGTATAAAATCGTAAATATAGTTTTATGTGATCACAAGAAAATAGACAAACTGAAGATAGCGGAATGGGGAGGAAGCTAAAGACAGGTGGAGCTTAAATGAGTATAATGGTAGTGAGAAAGTGAAAGAGATGCTTGATGCTTCAAGCTCCAACTTTGGAATCAAAAATGGTGGATAAAGCTACTTTAGAGGAGCCTAATTGGGGAATAGACATGAGGATTTGCGCTCAGTTCAACAATGAGGAGTTTAACGGAACTGAGATTGTTAGATTCATCAAGAGAAAAATATCATGGAAGAACCCCGTGAGCCAAGGCTGGCCCTTTAGCTTCTTGAAGATTGTGCTATGAATTATGAGAAATGAACTTCTTCTGGCTCTCTCCTACGTACACTACAAGAAACCCTTTTGGCACCACTGAGGCTGCTCTTTTGCTAGAAACTGCTACGGTGGTGAGGCCAATAATCTTCTTTGCACCCAATAGACTTCTCACCAAAGCCAAATCTATATTTTTTGTCTGAAAATTTTGAATTATTTTGAAACTTCTGAAGATGTATGAAGAGATTCAAACTATTGGATTGGTTGTTGTTGGTTGATAGTAGAAGGAACGGGTTATGTGTATTATATATAGAAAGACCAATGAATGAGTTGGGACTTCTCTGAAAGATTTTTCAAAACTTGTGGTCTTGAAGCATAGGACAAACTTGTATTTTTTTAGATAAGACATGTACTACTGTCAATATTAAAGACCAACAGATTTATGTTCTTTGTGTTTTGTAATAATATTCTCTCATCTAGTTGTTCTGGTTCATGTTCGTCACTGTTGGAGATAAAATTGTTGGGAGATACGACAAAAAGTCAAAAGCATGAGGCAAGGGCCTCTCCTAGATTAAGGCAATAAATTTCTTCAAGTACACCATTGTTATGATCTTATTATAAGTGTTTGCTACTGGTTCCTTAACAACAATCTTTAAATCTCATTACTAGTTGCATCTTTCCACATTTGTTCGGCCATTGCTTCTCTCCACATGTTGGCATTTTCTCTTTCTTGATCTTGCGTTTCAGGAATTTCCTCACCAGTTTCAAGATCACCTCCTGCATTGTTTTTTTTCCATATTTTCTCTATTGATAACTTCGACAGGAACTCCCGCAGGAAATTCATCTGATCGACAATGCTTGCGAAGAAAATTATGTAAGCACTTGTTACGTAACATGAGAGTATTCATGGATATGGAATCTTCAGTGCTACGTCTACGGAGAAGGTAAGTAATTGTTTAGCCAGGTTAGTTACAAGAAATTCATGGATCGTTCTAACCTTATCAAAAGTTCAACAGATCGTTGCTTGAGTTTCAGAGGAAGATTATAGATCAAGTCACGGAGAAAACATAACAAATTTGGAAATATTTTCTTTAGTTTTTGATTTTTATCTGAAATCCATCAAAATATGAGATTAGAATCGTGTATTTGTTTTGTTCATGTTTCACGGAAAAAAATACATCAAAATCCAATATAACCAAAGTCCCCTAAAATCAAGGGTTTATTGAATAATAGTTGTTTCTATTGTATTTTAAAATACACCAAACAAATATTTAATCCAATAACAAGGAATTTTAATGTATTTATATCAAATACACAATTGAATAATACGGATTTCATTCTGATTTTAAAATACATTAAAAACACTAATCCAATGACATCTCCTAAATGACGGTACTAAATATTTTAATAAGAATAATACTAAATATTCTCGTATTTGTCGGATATGAGATTTACATAAGAATAATAACATGAAAAGTCAATCACCGTTAAATTTTCTTATGTATTCGGTATCAACGTGTCACGATTTAATCACTGATGCTTAATAAAGAAAATTTCAAATAATAAGATAAAGGATAAATTTAATCAGTGATACCTAATAAATGAAATTCTTAACAATAAGATACTTTAATTTTCTACAAATCCTGAAATTCAGTGTAAAATACAATATGATACCTTTTTGAGATAAAAAAATACAAATATATAGAAAACCTATCTTTGGTTCTTTATTTTTCAAAAAGTATAAGATCTTTTTATTTTATTTTCGGCTCGAAAAAGCTACCTTTTAACGAAATTTGCATTTCTCTACTAGGACTTCATATTTTTATTTTATTTTTAAGAAAAAATGATACCAATCTCTCTCAATTTAATTGACATACAAAATTAGAGAAAAGTATAAAATTTTCTTTCTTGGCTCAAAAATTACCTTTTTCAAAAGTTTCCATCTTTTTCCACTACTACTTCAGATGCCTAATTTTCAAAAAAAATTAATTATTTATTTTTC